CTCTTCCCTTTAACTCCAGCAGTCCCAGTAAGAAATCAATTCAGGTAGTTCTAGCATAGGGGTCTCATTTTAACATGTTCCCAACTAAGTTATACCTAGCCCAAGGTATAATAATGCCACAGTGTGTCTTGAAGTTTAACCAAGGTTACTTAAACAGAACTACATCAAAGTTATAACTGAACTGGCCTCAGATAGACATCTTCATCATACTGCCTCACAACTGTGCCAAATTACAGTTTAAAAAGCATTTTCACAGATACTCATTTAATCCTCACAACTCTGTGAGCTGAGTCTTATTATTTCTGTTGTATGGATGAGGAAACTAAGGCTCCACGTTATTTGCCCAAGATCAGTGGTTCTCAACCTTCCTAATGCTGCGACCCTTGAATACAGTTCCTCATGTTGTGGTGACCCCCAACCATAAAATTATTTTCGTTGCTACTTCATAACTGTAATTTTGCTACTGTTATGAATCGTAATGTAAATATGCAGGATGCATTTTCATTGTTTGCGACCCACAGGTTGAGAACCACTGCTTTAAAGGATAAAGAATACATGGATTCTGAGATTTCACAGTGCAGATGTCCATACCCCATCTGAGTAGACCTTACATTTTAGAGGCAAGGGCACAAGTATCCTTCCTAGTACCAAAAAGGGATTAAAATTCCTTGATTAAAAAATCAAGGTCAAACTTATCAAGTTTGGTAAGTTGAGCAAAGGTATCACAGTGGATATATTTTGAATTGTGAGGAATTATACTTACCCATCGAGGTGAGGTTGCTATAGTTCTCCAGCATCACATCCTTGTACAGGCTCCTCTGAGCAGGATCTAGTTGCTCCCATTCCTTCTGGGTAAAGGCCATAGTCACATCTTTGAAAGTTACCGATCCCTGTAATAACATATTCTTGTTCAGTGTAATGTTATCCATATTATTGAGTGACTTGGAAGATAATAATGACTTGTTCTTACCTTGACCATTCACTGTTGATCATAATGTTATATAGGATACCTATTCTCTACCGAATTTTGCATTTCTTTCCTTGAGAAACAAAAACCATATTAAGAAATGTCCCACCTGGCCCTACTCGGTTTGGCTCAGTGGATAGAGCCTCGGCCTATGGACTAAAGGGTCCGAGGTTCAATTCCGGTCAAGGGCACATGCTGGGGTTGAGAGCTTGATCCCCATGGGGGGCGTGCAGGAGGCAGCCAATCAATGATTCTTTCTCATCATTGATGTTTCTAACTCTCCCTCTCCCCTCCTCTCGCTGAAATCAATTACATATATGTGTGTGTATACACACACACACACACACACACATACACAGAAAGAAAGAAAGAAAGAAAGAAAGAAAGAAAGAAAGAAAGAAAGAAAGAAAGAAAGAAAGAAAGAAAGAAAGAAAGATAGGAAGGAAGGAAGAAAGAAAGAAAGAAAGAAAGAAAGAAAGAAAGAAAGAAAGAAAGAAAGAAAGAAAGAAAGAAAGAAAGAAAGAAAGAAAGAAATGTCCCACCTGGCCAGAGTGGCTCAGTTGGTTGAGCGTTGTCCTGTGCACCAAAATGTTGCTGGTTCAATTCCTGATCAGGGCACATACCTGATTTGTTGGTTTGATTCCCAGTCGGGGAACATATAGAAGGTAACCGATGATGTTTCTCTATCACATTGATGTTTTTCTGTCTCTCTGTCTGTCTCTACCTCTCTGTCTCTGTCTCTCATATATCTCTCCCTGTCTCTATCTCTGTGTCTCTTTGTCTCTGTGTCTCTCTCTCAGTATCTCACTGTCTCTCAGCATGTCCTCAAATAAGGATTAAAAAAAAAAAGAGCCTGGCCATTGTAGCTCAGTGGTTGAGCATTGACCTATGATCCAGGAGGTCACAGTTGAATTCTGAGTCAGGACACATGCCCTGGTTGGGGGCTCGATCCCAAGTAGGGTTGTACAGAAGGGAGCAGATCAATTATTCTCTCTCATCATTGATGTTTCTATCTCTCCCTCCCTCTGTGAAATCAATAAAAATGTATTTATAAAAAAGAAATTTCCCTATTATGAACTGAATGTTTGTGTCTCCTCCAAATTCATATGTTGAAACCTTACCCTCCAATATGATGGTGTTATGAGATTATTAGTTGATAGGGCCTTTGGGAGGTAATTAGGATTAGATGAGATCATGAGGGTAGAATCTTCATGAATGGGACTAGAGCCCTTATAGGAATCACAAGAGAGCTTGCTTCCTCTCTCTGCTCTTTCTGCCAGTGAGGATAGGAGGAGTCTGGAAGAGGTTACATATCTCAAATGGGCATCCAATACTGTCAGTTTCCTATTGCCCTTTCCAAGATGATTATGCCAAATATTCTTTCTCTTTGAAATCTCCAACATCTACTCCTTTTCTCCTCTTACTGATGAATTCGCCTTATATTCCAAAGAGAAAATAAATGCAAATGGATGTGAATTACCTTGCCTTGCTTCCACCAATTCCGCTATCCTGTTACCAAATCCATATAATCTGTCTTCCCTTCTGTTAAAATTAAAGAGCTGTCCCTTCTCTCACCTAAGCCCAGTTTGTCCACTTATCCTCTGGATCCCATCCTCAACTGCCTTCTCAAGGACCTCACCCCTGCAGTTAACCTCGTTCTCTTTTGTACTACCTATCTGTCCCTCTCGACTGGATCATTCTACTTAATATCATTCATCTGAAGAAAACCTCTCTTAATCACATGCTCCCTTCACCAGCAACATTCCTACTGTTATCTATACTTGCTCTTTATACTTCATTGCCTCCTATTCTTTCAACTCATCCCAACAGAATTTTATGACTCCACCGAAAGATCTATAATCAATCAAAATAACCACTGAGCTACATCT